AAAAGTGGCTGTTCACATTTCTTCCATCGCTTCTCCACACATTCAATGAGCTGCTTGCTGTACTGTGGGGCTTGCTTGAATCCTGCAAAAATGTCGGCATATGACTTGATGACATCGCCGAGTGTATTTTCATCGCGCTGCAATCGGTATGAAGCCAATGAAAGAGGAGCAATTACGCGCTCTACTCGTTTCAGATCGCTCCAAAAGTAATCTTTAAGGAACACCGCCAAATCGCGGGGGAAATCGTCATCTTCGTGACACTGCCGAGCTAGCATTTCTAATGCTGATTTTACGCGCGATAGGGAAGCAAAACACGCTTGCATCGAATTCCACCGCGTCACGCATAACGAGCACAAGCTCAACTCATACCCGTACATCTTGTTCATCAAATTTCTGGCACGTCTTAACCACTTGACCGAGTTATTCACCGCGTTCACAGCTGCAGAAGCTTCCCGTGTTATCTGGGAAAAGGACGTTTTGAGAACGTCTTTCACTAGGTTGTTGATGTCATGAGCAAAGCAGAAAATGAAGGAAATTTTAGGCCACCGAAGTGAGAGAATCTGTCGTGCTCGGCGGCATTGACCAGCATCATCTGTGATCATGCATCCAACGTTCCAATCTTCCGCTATGGCCTGCTCAAGAATAGGCTCTAGTTGAACAGCGATAGCAATACCGTCATGTCGATCTCCGTCTTCGTGAACACCAAAGCGGAGAGATTTCCCAAAGAGCGTCAAAATGGATCCGGTTATGTGTTCCCTGCGCACATTTTGCCAACCGTCCGATACGAAAATTGACCCGCGCACCTTCGGTTTGCATTTCTCGCAAAGCGCTGGCATTTTTGTCGTAGCAACGTCTGGCATGTTCGTCAAGCAAGCGCCCACCAAGAACTCGTCGCGACGGCAAAATGTTGTTTAAACCGGGACAGATCAGATCAAAGAAATATCGTACCGAGGGCTGCTCAATCAGCCTGTCCGAAAGGTGATTAGCAGCGTGAATTTCGACGAGCGCTCGTTCAATTCTTCAGATATCCTCTCTGGAAAACTGACGAGGGGCTGGTTTGTTAGCCAGTACTAGAGTTTGCTACCTCGCGACTTGTGTGTCTCTTTCAGAAAGAGATAAAGCACGAGCGACACGCTTACGAGGATGCCCGTTGTCCTCCGTTTCAGCGTCAATAGCGTTTCGTAAGCGCTTCTTTCCAAGTACACTAGGCTGGGGGTGAACGTACTAGCACAGATCGCTCTGGGTTTGGGCTCTCGTCTTCCACATCGCCAAGCGAGTATCTTAACCGCTTGCGACCAGTCCCCGGTGCCTTTTGTGACGCATAGTACTCAGGAGTATCGCTGAGCGCGGATTCATAGGATCTTGGGCGCTTGGATCCAGACAACGGCGTCACCCCGACCAGCGATTGTGAATCCTTGTAGTTACTGCAGTTCTTCAAGTGGTTGAGATAGTTCCGCGCTCTTCCTTGAATAAGCGATGGAGGATCGCTTCTGTCACCGAAGCTGTGGGCGTTGCTACAGTGCTTGCAGAAGACAAACTTGTAGCCTTTTGCAGGGGTTATCCCTTCGGCTTCGTAGAACTGGCCTCGCTCGAGCACACTCGGGCACACTCGGGCGTCCTGTGTGGCGCATGCTCAATTGTGCCTTGACTCCTGCCTTGGGTTTTGGGAAGTGTGCGATCTCCTTCGGCTCGGACCTTGAAGTTTGTGCGCTCCTTTAAGATCTTGCACGCGCAGTTTGGATTTTCAAATCGTGGCTCCAGGTCCGCAAATCACAACCTGTCAGACTAAATGGCTGTCGGTGCCCTCATAATCTAATTAAGCCAATGGCCTGGCCGAATGGGCCTGGC